CTTTCCATCTAATCATTTGTAGTTTCGGCAGCTTTTTTATATTATGTATGTAAATTTTTTTCTTCTCATATATTTTATTTTTTGATCGTTATTTGATAGGAGATTGTTGTGTAAGGAAAGAAAGTCTTTCGTTTTTGTTTGGATACAAGACAGGTGAATAAAAAACCATTGAATAATTAATGTTGAACAGGTTGAGCAGTGAGATGGATTGTTATTGCTATTATTATTATTATTACTGCCATCACCCTTATTAGATGCATCGCGTTTGCCTATCTTTTTAGGCTTAGTCGGAAACTCATGTAATGTTTCTTTTTTCTAATCTTCTAAATTAGTCTAAGAACTGTAATTCTTTTTGTTCTGTTTTACAAATTCTTTCAGAGTTTATCTTCTACTGTTAAAGAATATTTTTACTTTAGGGAGAACAGTAATCAAATATTACTAAGCTACGCATGACTTGAGTTTCAAGTAATGAAGTATTATTTGTATAGCCCCCCAAGATATATTGGTCTGTTTCGGAATTGAGGGAAATGAGTTTAAAAATTGAATGAAACAATATTGCCTTTTTTGAATTCATTAGATATTTGCTGGATATGATCTAAGTTGATCTGATCTCCGAGCTCAGTGAATAATTAAATTGAGGATATTGTATGCAACTTCCTTTGAAACTTGTAGCTTTTGAAAATTTAGTTTTATAAGGTCTGGTTGAAAATTTTGCTAAATTTTTCAGAAATTTGCTTCTTTTACTCCGAGGAGAGGAAGTTTAGTTAAAACCTCCTTTTCCACTGCAAATTGGAGGATTTTACTTTTTAGCAGTGTAAAGGCGGCTATGTGAAAGACACTCGGACTGGGATTTTGTGAACTAAATATGCTTAATGAAGTTAGAAAGTTTTCGCGTTGTCTGCTTTTTCCTTTTTGGTTTATGGGTTTTATTTCTAAAGGATTATTCAAGAGTATGCGGGTTTTTGTTGCCAGTGTATCAGGGGAGAGGGGAGTGAACAGAAGAAAGATGGAAAAGATGAGCAGAAGGTTATGCGCTTTGATATATTCGAGCCTTCTTCTGCAACACTACTTTTTAAAAACATTTTTTAGGGTAGATCTCAAAGCAATTTTTTTTGTTTTTTTTTCTCTCAATTTTTGCCTTCGCTCTCTGTCTTTTTTGGTAGAAGCTTTCTTATTCATACTTTAAAGCTGAAATGTTTATTGTATAGAGATAATAAATGTTTTTCACATTTACTCAGACAAATAAATTCAATCGCTTGCTCTTTCCAAACGGAATTCATTGAAGCGATAAGTACAGCTTGGAGGAGATAAGAATAAGCTTGAGGACATGGAGTGGAAGAATTGAGAGGCAGTGAGGAGAGGAGAGGAAAGATTAATTGCGAAGAAGAGTACCTTGATAGAATGACGTTTTTTGAAAAAAAACTTTAGTTTACTGACTTGTTTTCACATGTTTTTTATTTTTTTTCAGAAAGTTTCAATAAGCATTTTTGTTGAGAGTGGTTTTTTCCTCCATTTTTTGTTGCTTTTGTTGTCATTTAAAAATTATCTAACATTTTTATAGTCATTTACAAGTTTTTTTTCGTTTTTTTCAAAATTTGTAGTTTATATACTTGAAAATGAGGGAGAAAAAAAGTCGACATAAATTGGCTATAGTTATATCCTTAAGTATATTCATTGTTCAGTAAAAATTGGAAATTGGAAGATGGACAGAACAAAGTTTAACATTTGATGATTTTGGCTTCTTTTTTCACTTGCATTTCTTCTCCTCTTGTGACATTCCTCATCTAATTGTTCATGTTCTAAGCATTTTGATGATGAATATAACAAAACAAATGCCTGAAGTTTTGAATTTGTTGCTTCTGTTTTTTTTTTTTGTGTTATATCGCTATCAGCGACACAGTTCAGACTACAGTAGTCTAAGGAAAAATTTCTTCGTAGTTTTACTCTGCTTCTTTTATACCTCTTCTTGGTTTGGTTTGAGCATTTTTTCCTCATGACAAAGGAAAAGTCATGCAAATTCAGGTAGGTGGAAAAAAGTGCAAAAGCGAAAGCTATTTATATAAACTCACACATACTTGTATGTTTATGGGAATATTTGATGAACATTTATAACAGTTGCTGGTGATAACAGTAATAGTAATAATAATAACAATCGTAGCAGCGAATAAGTAATTAAGCGGTTTAATCGTCTTTTATTTTTAAACTTTCTTCTGGTGATTTTTTTTTT